TATCAAATTCAATACTTATCTATCTATGCATATTATGTGTAGTAACTTCTCCTACATAATTTTTTTGAGCAAACAATAAGGACTTTATTTGATTACTGCATTCAGCTTCTACTCTTGAGCAATCATCCCTCATCGTAATACTATAGTTACAGCATTCAAAACAACTAATCTTTCCCACATTTCCGGTCAACTCCCTATTACATTACAAGTTTCCAATTTTGTTGTGTTCCTGGGAAACTTGACCATCCATTGACGGAGCCAAAGGAGGGCAGAGGGGGGCCATGGCCCCCCCTAAGTTTTGAGAATTTTAATTCATAATATGTAAATATGTGTGTAAAATAAAATTGGCCCCCCCTAAATTTTTTCAATTTTAGTTTATATTATGAGAGATGATATATATATATATATATGAATTAGTCATCTTTGAATGGAATGGCCTGCAAGCTTTAATTTGCCATGAATGTCCATATGCCTATTACATTCATTGTTTGGCTCATAGGTTTCAACTTGCTTTAGTTGCAGTTTCTAGAGAAGTAGTTTCTGTTCACCAATTCTTCTCCAATTTAGTTTTCATTATCAACATTGTTACTGCATCTAACAAACGTAATGATGAATTAAAGGAGGCTCAAGCAATTGAAGTTGCTACTAAGATTGCTAATGGTGAACTTGAAACTGGAAGGGAGCTTAATCAAATTGGCACTTTAAAACGAACTGGAGATACTCGTTGGGGTTCTCATTTGGATTCTATTTCTAGTTTACTGAAAATGTTCAATGCTACTTGTGTGGTTTTAAGTAACATTGCAGTAGATGGAGGTTCATACTCTTAACGTGGAGATGCAAATTTTGCTTTGAATCAGTTGTTATCCTTTAAGTTTGTTTTCACTTTGCATCTTATGAAAGACATTATGGAAATTACTCATCTTCTTTATATAGCATTACAACATAAATCTCAAGATATTTTGAATGCAATGCATCTTGTCTCAAGCACAACAAAGCTACTGAAGACTTTTCGAGATTCGGGATGGGATGATTTCTTGGTGAAAGTTAAATTATTTTGTGAGCAACATCAAATTGATATCCCATGTATGAATGCTCAATATATTGCAAGACGTGGTAGATCTCGAAGTCATCATGATGAGATCTGTGTGGGGCATTATTATCGAGTGGATATATTTCTTGCAACAATTGATTATCAATTGTAAGAGTTACATAGCAGGTTTAATGATCATACCGTGGAATTGCTTATTTTGAGCACTGCTTTAGATCCTAGAAATGGATTTATGCTGTTCAAGATTGATGATATTTGTAAACTTGCAGAGAAGTTCTATCCGAATGATTTTATGGAGCAAGAACTAGTACGTCTAAGAATAGAACTTCAACATTTTGAGCTCGACATTCCAAATCATCCTGAATTGCAAAATTATCTGGTATTAATGAGTTATGTCAAGGCTTGGTGAAGACAAGAAAATCAGTGATATATCTTGTTATTGATAGATTGATTCGACTTGTTCTTACTCTTCCTGTATCAACTGCAACTTCAGAGCGGACATTTTCAATTATGAAAATAATCAAGACAAAGCTCCAAAACAAGATGGAAGATAATTTCTTGAATGATTGTCTAACTGTGTATATAGAAAAGAAGGTTGCTGAAAAATTTAGCAGTGATTCAATCATAGATGAATTTAGTTTTATGAAAGAGCTTAGAGCTCAATTTACTTCTAAGAAAAGATGTTGAAATTTCAAAGTATGCTAACATAACTTTTATCTTTTTTTAATTGAAAATAGTTACATTTATATTACAAGGTTATATATATATATATATATATTGCATAGGTGACATATTGGAGAGCATCTTCTCATAATGTGCAAATTGGATGGTTTGTGATGTTATAAGATATTTAATCAAAGGGTATCTTTTTTGTTAATTTTTGTTATGACTGTACGGTATATTTATGAATAGACATGCCTTTATAATTAAATTTAATATTTGATATTTTTAGATGTTATATATTTAAATAGAAGAAAATTATTTTGAACATAATATATTAAGATAATTTTATTAGGATAAAATTTTGGCCCCCCCAAAAAAAAAATCCTGGCTCCGTCACTGCCATTGACCACATAACACATATATTCTTTAATGGTTTTTAGAAGTTTAGTACACACAACGAGCCTTGATTGATAGATCATTTCATTCTTGAATCTCCAAATGTGATAAATAGTAGCAGCCAAGGCCAATCTCCTCAGTTGGTCCGCAAACGATTTGGTCTTCCAGTGAGCTGCAAGCTAAATAAGTTCTTCATCACAAGAATAAGAACCTCGGATTACCAGGCACATGTGTTGCACTTTAGTCCATACTGGTCTTGTCGCACAACAATTAAAGAACAGATGGTTTATGCTTTCCTCCTCTTCTTTGTAGAGTATACACAAACTAGATGGTAAAGAAACACCCCACTTTTGTAATCTATCCAGTGTAGGGACCCTTTTCTTACATAGCTGCCATAAAATAAATGCAAATCTTGGTACAAATCCTTTCCCCCAAACTAGTTTTACCCAAGTCATCTTCTCTCTTGAGCCACTAAGAAGATTCATGGCAGCTTTTGTATGGAATACGGCAGGAGAACATCCCTCCCACACAACTTGATCTCCATGCCCCACCAAAGGTTCACAATTATTTTGTCATTTAATTGATGAGAGGAACAATTAAGTATTCATAATATCTTATCCGTGTGGTAACTTGTCCTACACAATAATTTGTCATATAGCTGATGAGAGAAATATTTAAGTATCTTATCATGCTATCATGAAACGCACCATAATAATATTCTCACACGTTTTGCAGGCTAGTTTTCAATTGCACATCCAATTTTCATCACCTAACCATTGTTTACATTAATGCTCTTTCAACATCGTAGGTTGATAGGGTGATGGTGGCTAGTCTAAGATGAAACACAAAAGAAATTTGATGTAGAAAGGTTTCGCACTGTTATCCCGTGGCACTTAATACTGATTATTATTGCCAGAAAAAAATAAACAAACAAACAAACAACTTCATGTAATACAAATTGATATCTTATCATGTGGTCCAATTTGCTGTTAGCCGGGTCATTGTTAAATATTTTTACAGTTTTCCCCAAATTACTGTTATCTCATACACAAATGATATTCCTTTGAAGGTCCTACAAGTATTGCATCTGTTGATTAGGTCCTAGAGGTATTGAATCTGTTGCTTAAGAGACAGGGCAACTGAAATATTAAAAGAAAGCGTAATCTAGAAATGAACAAATAGGATAGTGTGCCCAAATTTACGACCAATCCAGTCAAATTCTGAAGTTTGACAAAGTTCTATCGCAAAATGGCAGAATATGCATTTCAGATTTTGTCTGTGGCATCTCAGAAATTTTTTTATGAATTGAATATATTTCTCCAAAAATATAAATGGCAATTTTTCAACTAACATCTTGTATTAAGTGCATAGAGTTTGTTGCATTGTTCAAGAGTTTTGGTAGCTCCTTAGACATGGTTTTTGCATCGGGTTTAGTGGATGTTTTGCTCTTGCCTAAACAATGCACTCATAGGGTGCAAAATTACTATTTAATTTTTTATTATTTTTCCCTTGATTTTGGCCGTATATTATTTTTATTGATGGATTCCGCTTAAATTTGGTTAATAGTACTAATTGTAGGAAAAGAAGCAAAATGTGATTAAAAGGGGTAATTTTCGAGTTAATTTGGGATTCGCACGTTCGGGGCTTGTTTCCAAGTTCGATTCAAACTTTGGACAGCATTAGAAAAAGATTTGGAAGACTTGAATTTCCATTATTTGTTTTATGGTTGAATTAAGAAACTTGGAATATTTTCTTTTATGGTTTCTTTTTCTATTTAGGAGACTAGTTTTTATTTATAATAGACTTCAATTAGGAAATGAACAGGAAAAAAAAAAAAGGGGGACGGACCTGAGTGATTAGCACTGGGAGAGTCGTCACTTGTTTCAAAAATTGGCAGCTGGCTCTTCGTTAGTGAAGAAGAAAAACGATATGCAATCAGTTTCAATGGAGTTTTGCGGAATTCCTTCTATGATAAGTAGCTAAATCTCTATTTTCTAGTCAAGAAACAACGAAGGATTTGGTTCATCCAAAATTGTGAGATCAAATTGATTATTTTTATTTCTTTTATTTACTGGTATTCATATATTCTCTGATTTAATTTCTTATGATTACTATTTTATTTGAATATCAAGAGCGTCCGATATTTAATTAATCTAATAACCTAAAACCAGTTAGAGCAGTTAAATCCGTAACTGTTTAATTTGTTTAAATTAGTGGTGACTAGTATGATTGGATTTGTATCAGGGGAACATATGAGTTAATTTAAAATAACCCTCGTAGCATGTTATTTGATTAGAACAGAACTTCTCTAATTCTTAAGGCAATTGGGAAATTGAACTCTACGGTCATACCTAGGGTTATTTCTTGATTAGAGAAGTGATTAATGGTCGTATCTTAATTACCGATACAGTAAGAAGAAATTGATTGTCATCATTTGTTTGACAGTTATAACTTGTTTATTAGTGGGTGAATGAAATCATTATTACATTCATGATCAATAGAGTGAACCATTTCCGAAGTTATTTCTTGACTAGAGTTTATTTATTATTGTTTCATTTTTAATAAATTATTAGTTAGGCCTTTTATTTGATTTATTTTGTTATTCATATTTTTATAAAAATCCCCCCATACTTTGAACTTGAGGAAAAACGAATTTCTCCAATCTCTGTGGATTCGATCCTGCTTATCACTGTATACAAAATTTATATTTTATTTGAGCAGGTATTTATTATTGCACAGGCTCGACACCTGTCAATTTTTGGTGCCATTATCTAGGGTTGGCGTTAGTTAATTTGTTTTCTTTTTTTAATTCATTTTATTTTTAATTTTCTGGTATTTTTTTTCTAATTTATGCCTCGCTCTTCTCGTACAAGCAAATTAATTTTGGAAATGGATGCCCACAAATTCTGGAAATTTCACTGTATCTTCAGCGTTTCGGGAAATTAGGCAAGCCCGAAACACATCAATGGTTTTTGATAGAATCTGGCATCCTCGTCTTTCTTTGAAGACCTCTTTCTTCATGTTGCGATTGTTGCTGGGTAGGTTGCCAATACCGGATACGTTACGAAATTTTGGTTTTCATTTACCCTCAAAGTGTTTTTGCTGCCAATCGGCATCTGAAGAGTCAACCGAACATTTATTCTCCAATGGCATTATAGCATCAACAGTTTGGAATTATTTTGGGGCTTCATGTGGACTCCAAGTATCAGGGTCATATTTGAGATCTCGCATAGTGGGTTGGTGGTTGAAATCATATGATTCTGATATAAGACGGTTTATTGGACGGCTACTTCCTTCTGTAGTATGTTGGCAAATTTGGAAGGCAAGAAATAAAGCAATGTTTGAGGATGTCCAGATGCGGTCGAATGTCATTTGTCAAGCCATTTTCTCGGAAATCCGATCCATTGTGGACATACATTTCAAAAAAGTGGGACGAGTACAGTCATTTTATCTTTTGTATGATTGGCCGAACTCATCTGATGTTGGCATCACATACAAACTTATTCGATGGGAAACGAAGGAATCTGGACGGTTCACACTTAATACAGACGGATGTTCTAAGGGTAATCCAGGAGTGGGTGGAGGTGGTGGAGTTCTTCGGGATTCAAATGGCCTCCCTTTGATTGGTTTTTCGGCATATTTTGGGGAAACTACATGTCTTCGTGCAGAGGCTCGTGCCCTCCTTATTGGTCTTCAAACATGTGCACAGAGGTGCTTTCGGAATATCTATGTGCAATCGGATTCTTTGGTATTAATTGGAATTCTTCAGCATCGCATTCAATGTCCCTGGCACATCCGACGGATTATCAGGCAGATTTGGCAGTTTATGGAAGATCCGGATCGTTTTTCACATTGTTACAGGGAAGCGAATAAGGTGGCTGATGTGTTATCCAATGTGGGCGTATCTCATCCAGACCAGCAAATCAAGATATACGAGACATTAAACACGTTTCCAACAATGGCTCGTGGAGCAATTCGCCTTGATAGGCTTGGAATGCCTTCAATTCGGAAAATTAGGTCTATGTAACATTTTACTCTTGTCTTACTTCTAATAAAAATAAATATATTTCAGTTAAAAAAAAAAAAAAAAAAAAAAAAGAAGATTGCACGTAGAACAAAGAAGGAGACCAGACACAACAAAGAGGAACAATCTGTTGCTGCTACTCAGAGGCTCAATTTAGAAATCGAATCGACAAATTCTTTTAGTGATACCTTGAACGATTCTGATCAAGAAGATGTCGTCATGGCTAATGCTAGAACTTTAGGGGAGTTGGCTGTTCCAAACTTAAATCAAGCAGCCATTATGCAGGTCATGAAACGCACCATTTCTAACATGTTTTGCAGGCTCATTTTCAAATGCACATCCAATTTTCATCACCTAAGCATTGTTTACATTAATGTTCTTTCAACATCGTAGGTTGATAGGGTGATGGTGGCTAGTTTGATTGTTATTGTTTGAGTACAAGAGAAACACATAATCGACTGTTTTACCAAAAAAAAAAAAACTTGATATTGATTATGGTTCGAGACAGCGGGAAAGCCAGAGATGTTGCCGTAGTTTATAAGAAGATCAAAGTTATTTGTTCATTTGTTCCATCATGTTTAACTATTAGTCATTAACCGAGGTTAAGATCATGTACTACATATAAGATCACCAAATTAATGCCATTTTTGAAGTCTGCATATGTATTCTCTCTCCTCCTTCGACAAAATTGCATCTTCAGATTTGAAAGACATTTTCGAGTACCTAAGGGATTGGTTCTATATTTATTTTATTATATTTTTTTTTGAAGCAAGGTGGGCACTTGTGGTCTAATTAATTATTACCGAAAAATGAACTCGTGTCTATGAGTTCAATCCTAAGAATTCTCTAGGTGATTTATTGTGATTTATCACTAGGATTGATTACATACACTTTCAGAAATTGTCAATCAATAACCAATCCAAACATTTATGCCCAAAAATGTGATTATTTTTTTTTCGTCTTTGACACTCGAGACCACTAATGTTCTGACCTAACCTTAATTCATCAAGATTTTGTACGATGGGCAATAGAAAAGAATTTTACGACAGATGAAGGAAAAGAAAAACTAGTAAAAGAGGAGGAGAAAAGCTCAATATCTGTATACAATTAATCATACCCTTTCAGTTGTCATGTTTGTCAAATTCTATACTTATCTATCTATGCATATTATGTGTAGTAACTTCTCCTACATAATTTTTTTTTTTGAGCAAATAATAAGGATTTGATTTGATTACTGCATTCAACTTGTACTCTTGAGCAATCTTCCCTCATCATACTACTATAGTTACAGCATTCAAAACAACTAATCTGTCACACATTTCTAGTCAACTCCCCATTACATTACAAGTTTCCAGTTTTGTTGTGTTCTTGGGAAACTAGACCGTCCAACGACCACATAACACAGATTCTTTAATGGTTTTTTGCAGTTTAGCACACACAATGAACCTTAATTGATAGATCATTTCATTCTTGAGTCTCCAAATGTGATAAACAGTAGCAGCCAAAGCTAATCTCCTCAGCTGGTCCGCAAATGATTTTGTCTTTCAGTGAGCTGGAAGCCAGATAAGTTCTTCATCCCAAGAATAAGAACCTCGGAATACCAGGCACATGTGTTGCACTTTAGTCCGTACTGGTCTTGTCGTACAACAATTAAAGAACATATGGTTTATTCTTTCCTCCTCTTCTTTACAGAGTATACACAAACTAGATGGTAAAGAAACACCCCACTTTTGTAATCTGTCTAATGTAGGGAGCCTTTTCTTACATAGCAGCCATAAAATAAATGCAAATCTTGGTACAAATCATTTTCCCCAAACTAGTTTTGCCCAAGTCATCTTCTCTCTTGAGCCACTAAGAAGTTTCATGGCAGCTTTTGTATGGAATACGCCAGGTGAACATCCCTCCCACACAACCAGATCCCCAAACCCTACGAAAGGTTCAAAATTATTTGTCATTTAATTAATAAGAGAAACAATTAAGTATTCATAATATCTTATCCGAGTGGTAACTTGTCCTACATAATAATTTGTCATATAGCTGATGAGAGAAACATTAAAGTGTTCATGGTATCTTATCATGTGGTCATGAACATTTTCAATTGCACATCCAATTTTCGTCGTCACCTAACCATTGTTTACATTAATGTTCTTTCAACATCGTAGGTTAATAGGGTGATGGTGGCTAGTCTAAGATGAAAAACAAAAGAAGTTTGATGTAGATAGGTTTCGCACTGTTATCCCGTGGCACATGATATTGATTATTATTACCAAAAAAAAAAACAAAAGACAAACAAACAAACAAATGAACGAACAACTTGATATTGAATCTGTTGATTAGGTCCTACAGGTATTGAATCTGTTGCTTAAGAGAAAGAGCTTCTGAAATATGGAAAGAAAGCGGAATCAAGAAATGAACAAATAGGATAGTGTGCCCAAATTTACGACGAATCGGGGCAAATTCTGAAGTTTGGCCAAGTTCTATCGCAAAATGGCAAAATATGCATTTCAGATTTTGTTTGTGGCATCTCAGAAAATTTTTTATGAATTGAATATATTTCTCCAAAAATATAAATGGCAAATTTTCAATTAACATCTTGTATTAAGTGTATAGAGTTTGTTGCATTGTTCATGAGTTATGGTAGCTCCTTAGTCATGGTTTTTGTGTAGGGTTTATTGGTTGTTTTGCTCTTGCCTAAACAATGCACACCTCGAAAATACATCTTCACCTAATCTGAAAGTTGTCGAGACAGGAATTCACCTTAGTTGCCTCGTGCTCAATGTTTTATTGCACGTGTAGAATTCGCATTTCCACAAAATCTAATCTAAGATCCCATCTGGATTTGAGTTTTTGAAATTGTTTTTGTAGAAAAATTTATTTGATATATACAAAAGAAACATGGAATGGTTAAGTGCCTCACGCATGGTCAACTTCGGTATGTTTTAACGGCAGCATCGATCGTAATTATTGAGATGAATCATCTTAAAGATTTCACTAGGCTATTAGTGCTAAAATTAGTTGAATGGATGAAATGACATTTTTGAAAAGTTTGATAACCTCCGATACATTTTAGCCTATTTATTATGGATTGATGTTATATACACGGAAATGTTTTTCATACTAATAGATATAGATATACGAGACATGCACAAAACCTATTAGTCATATTCCACACATACCTCGGAGTTACTTTATACCAATAAACAAACAATAAGTCATAACACTAATAATTTGAGTTAATTTTTCGTGAATGATACTAGAGTATACAGGTTTTAATACATGACAATTAATTTTAATTTAGATATAAATTCAAAATCCATCATATATAGAAAAAAAATCCTCCATATGCATTATTCATCAAAAATCACTAATATCTACATTATCAGTGCAAGAAAAATATTTGCATCGAAAGAACAATTCATGGCTTGGAATTTTCATTAAAAAGATTAAATGACCTTTTATCAACAATATCATATTCCACACATACAATACCACTTTTTGACCTATGAGTTTCTCGTTGCTAAACTGATATTTTAAATTGAGAATCCTGCCGTTGCTGGAATAAATAAACAAGATAGAAATATGAATTTGCATGTATAATGTTTAGCGATAATTTCAAAAAGCTTCCCTGATGCTTCTATCAATTTTTGCCTTGATTCATCTATGTTATTTTAATTTTATGTTTATGCTTGTTCATTATGGACATGCTTTGAGGGTTTGTATGTACTAAAAAGGGCTACACAACTAGGTACTAGATAGATTCACATTCCTAGGCTAAATGTGAGGGTAATTTAGGGTTTATATGCCGTAATCAAATCACTTAAGATCCTAAAGGATTCAGTCGAATACTTGTGATCTTGAAAGAGATATGAGATTTAATTGTGTACAATTTAGATATATTGGGAGATAATCTAAAGTACCTTTGTGGAATACGTTCTCGATATATTAAGAAAATAATTCGATAATTAATTCAAGTTATGGAACAAAATCTGACAAACCCTAGTTTCTTGCCCATTATTTTTGTGCAATCTATTTTCTTTGACTTGACTATTCAATTTATTCTTAGTTAGTGAAAAATAAATTTCTTGAGTTTGTCTTTTATTGTCGTTTGTATAATATTTTGAAGTAGGAAAAATTAACTCGTCCCTGTGAGCTCGAACCCTAGAATTCTCCAATCGATTTATTACCGGGATTGATTTTGTACACTTGATGAAATTGTTGATCACCAGCCAATCTGAACATTTAAGCGCAAAAAATGTGATTTTTTATTTTTTTTTGCCTTGACACTCAAGGGCACTACTGTTCTGACTTGACCTTAATTCATCAAGATTTTGTACGATGGGCAGCAGAGAGAAATTTTAAGACGGATGAAGAACAAAGGAAAAATAGTAAAAGAGACAGAAAAGCTCAGTACTCTTTACACAATTAATCATACCTTAAGTTGTTATGTTTATCAAATTCTATACTTATCTATCTATGCATATTACCTGTAGTAACTTCTCCAACATAATTGTTTGTCATTTATTTGATGAGAGAAACAATTAAGGATTCATAATATCTTATCCGTGTGGTAACTTGTCCTAAAAAATAATTTGTCATATAGCTAATGAGAGAAACATTTAAGTATTCTTGTTATTTTATCATGCGGTCATGAAACGGACCATAATAATATTCTGACTTGTTTTGCAGGCTCATTTCAAATGCACATCCAATTTTCATCACCTAACCATTGTTTACATTAATGTTCTTTCAACATCGTAGGTTGCTAGGGTGATGATGGCTAGTCTGATAGTTATTATTTGAGTACAAGAGAAACACATAATCCACTATTTTACCAAAAAAAAACAAAAAACAAAATTTGATATTGATTATGGTTCGAGACAGTGGGAAAGCCAGAGATGTTGCCGTAGTTTATAAGAAGATCAAAGTTATTTGTTCATTTGGTCCTTCTTGTTTAACTGTTAGTCAATAACCGAGGTTAAGATCATGTACTACAGAGAAGATCA